GTCGTATCTCGAAAATTTCGTAAGTAGGGGCGTTCGTAAGTAGAGGTACCACTGTAGTTAGGAATAGTGAATATAGAAAGCAAAGAAGAAGAAAGTAAAATGGTAATAATAATATGAGCAAGAAAGGCCAGGAAGAATTCTGCGTTCCTCTAAGACTTTGTGTCTTTTAATAGCATTGTTGTGGTTGTTTAGTTGTTAAGTTGTGTCCGACCCTTCGTGACCCCATGAACCATATTGCGCCAGGCCTTCCTGTCCTTAATAGCATTAATCTCCCCAATTATTTGTTGATGCTTTTTCTGGCCCCAGTCAGTAGCTGTGCTTTTCCTACCAAGTGACCAGGCTAGAGAAATCTTTGTGAAAATCATGATATTTTGTACGTAGCAATCCCTATTTGAGGAACTCACTGAATTTTGGGCCCTTCCCTACGTAGTCCTGGAGACATTTCACTGCAGTCTGCCAGGAGCAAAGGCAGAATGTGGGATATCAATTTCTTTTTTCCTTCTCAGTTCCTGTTGCAAATTCAGAGATCCTTTTTGAATCCCCCAAGAGGACAGCCCGCCCTGAGCAGAGACGAATGCATTCACAACCAGCTTTCTCTTTTCTCTTTCTGATTTTAAAGGTGTCCCAACATTTTTTACCACCTTGTGGATACTATTGAAAGTGCACTTTGAAGATATTTTGTAAGTCAGGCCTTCTTCCCAGATTCATGCAACATGTGTGCATGTGTGTGTGTGTGCGGGGGGGGATTTGGGTGTTGTAAGTCAGGGGTGGCTTTAGGCTAAGGCTGGGGAGGCACTGACCCAGCTGCCAAAACCTAAGCGGGGGGCAAAGCTGCTTCACCATCCCAAAATCAAGGCCACATAAAAAATGGTTTCCATTTTATCTACCTTTAAAAAAGCAAGCTTTTCTATAGTTATCACAGGATTTTAGGTATTTTTGAACTGAAGCTTAGCCGTTTCCAACTGATTATAGTTGGCAACTCTGTTCTGGGGGCAGCGGGGAGGAGATGTTGAATTAGTCATTCTAAACATGCCAGTCTTTGCATCGTCAGGAGGTGGCAGCAGCAGTCAATGTGGCCCAGGGGCTCCATGAGCCCAGCTTGCTTGGAACCTGAACATTTGTATCTAATGGCTATGTGCGCAAGGTTACTTAGCCCTGTAGTTCTCTTCTGATGCTTTTCTG